TTATTTAACAAATTTACAATGAAAGTTAAATTATTAAATTTTTTAAAAAAGCAATTAAATAAATTGCATTAAACAAAAGCACTTAAATAAATTACATTAAATCCTTTTATTATTTAATATTATTAAACGACAAATTGCGAAAGCAGAAAGTTAATTATATTTTTCAATTTAATTAATTTTTCTGAATGTTTTTGTCTAGATTATGTTCCTTCTTACTAAGCTTTCTTTTCTTCCAACTTGAAATAACTTGAGGATCAAGATTTTCTTTGCTCTTCTTGACTTTAGTATGTAATCTTCATCTGCCACCAGAATTTTCATAGCTGTGCCACTTGGTAGACTCAACTTGAACATGAATTATAGCACCACTTTTAATTTGAGTTTGATCTGTATAACTATTGCTATAAAGGAAGGAAGATAATCAGGCAAATAAAATTTCTTTTGATGTGTGATATTGTTTGGCGAATTTTTCTAATACAACATGAAATTGTGAACCACCATTTTGATAATCATTACTAATTTCATCCAGAAATGTATTGAGCATATTATTGTTGATTCTTTGCTTATTTAAATTGGTTTACTTTAAAAAATAATATAAAATTAGTATTATATTTGCTAATAATATTATTTTAAGAAACTATACAAAACTGTTCATAATTTAAAGGTTTTAATAAATGTTGATTAGATAGTTTTGTCTCTTGTGAATATTCTTGTAAAATAGATTCTGCATGCAATGAGGCATAAAAAGAACTATTCTTTGTAACTTGATCTAACAAAATAATAAAGAATTTTTTGAATTATATTATGCTTTATGCTATCACGTATTATAAGCTATCTTACCAAGTGCAATATATATGAATATCATATGATCATTAGGTGTTAGTAAAGACAGAAAGTTTAATATTTGTATATAAAACTTCATTGCAACTGCACCTTTATGTTTGCAAGGTGCGCCATTCATACTAATAGAATATGTGCATGTTCTGATCTCACAATATAAAAAATATTAGTTTGACTTGTGCTCATTACTGAAAATTCATTTTCCATACTTGTTTGTTGAACAAAGTTTATATATATTTGCTTCCAACTGAGGCATAAAAATCAGTTTGCAACTTGAAAATGATCAGAATGTTTATGTACATAGCTAAATAATTGTTGGCAATAAAAATTTTCTATATTTAATATTATAAACTGAAATATTTGTACAGGGTTATAAGCCTGTGTCCTTGCAAAGACAATATCTTTTAGTATTTCAAATTCACGTTCAACATAATTGTTGGTATTGTTTTTACAAATAAGCAAGTTTGTACCAAATGCCAATGCCCAAAATTGGCAACAATTTCACAGAAGTTTGAAGTGTCTTTGTAGTAATGGATATGATTGATAAAAATCTTGCTTAAATTCATGATAATATTGATCCATTTGTAAAAAATTAGGTGCATAAAGAATCATCTTCATTTTATTCATAATTGATATTCTATCATCCTTAATGATTTGGTGTTTTA